GCACCATAGTAAAAATTTGACAAATGTTTCCTATGATTTTCTATCACAATTATTTTATTTATTTTGATGCAGCAGCTTTTTTTTATTAATACAAGGCCCGTGTCCACCAAAGCATTTTTTACCAGCTGATAACGCCACCTGCTCTTCTGAAAACGCCTAGCTGGGAGCCCTAGGGTGCGTTTTGAAGGCACAGTGGGGGGGTTTTTCGAGACACTGTGGTTGTGGTCCGTACGTGGATTTTATGAGATTTTGCGGGCGAGGAAACACCTCCGCGAGTAGGCACATCGTTTCGTTCAAGATCGGATGTGCTCGGTGCGGTGTGTGTCCCGCCCCTTCTGCACTGTAATTGGACCGCTGGGTAAAAAGTGACAAGTGACGAGCGCAGCGTTTTTCCCCAAAGTTGAACATTTTTCAACTCTCGCCGACCGGAAAAAAAACACTCAGCGCCTCATCACGCTGCTGGCGTTTTTACCAGCTTGGAAAAACGCGGCGCTCCCATTGGAATGAATTGAAAATAGACGCTGGCGTCAGAAAAAAACACTTTGGTGGTCCTAATACATTCTTTTGCCAGTTTATTATGTACAACTAAATACAAGCAAAAAACAATGAAGTGCCCTGAAAAATGTTCTGTTTCTAGAAAACGTGTTGATTGAACTTGACGTTCATTTTGGAAGCTGTAGTCTGGTGTTGCGGTAAGATGTACTGCATTTTTACTGAGGGGCGTTTTACATCTCCATTACATCAATGCAAGTGAAGTAATTATTATATATATATATAATTATATAGACTGAAATTAAAAAAAAAAGAAATAAAAAATTGTGCAGACTTTGTGCATGTGTGCTGTCTGGATGGGGTTCAGATGGGTTTGTAAATGTGAAGTTTCTCAAAAATATGATGTGTTTCCAGGTCCAGATAACACACTACATCTACATTTTGTTCTAAAAGGGTCTTCCGAATATGCATTTTTATAAAATCCTTCCAGTTAGAAAAACTTGCAGCATGTAACCTGACATGTACAAGAATAAGCTGGTCTGCCCCATTTGAAGAATTCAATTTAAAGAGCTGCTTATGTCAGCCATCATATTTCTCTTAAAGACGGTGATGGTGCATAGATGTTCGCACATGTATTTGAACAGTGTGTTTGTGAGTTTAGACCCTGTATCTGTTACGTACAGTCAGGTGCCTGGTAGGTGAGCAGTGCTGCCAGTTTCTTGTCCTCCTCCTTCTCTGGCAGCAATGGTATGGACAGGTTGGTCCTCATCCTGACTGTGTTGTCCTTCTCCTCTTGATCAGCCAGAACTTTCTTCTCCGTCTGCCCCGCAAATTAAATCAGCGCTGTCAGTTTAGTGTGCAATACAATCTCAAATAACGTCAAGAAATCTGAACCTGGAATTACTGCTTCATGTGCTGCTTGAAGTCATTTTCTGGTGATTATTTTGTCATCTTTAAAATTGTAGTTTTTGCATAAACCTACTTACTCCCATGTACATAGGATGATGTGTGAGAACGACAGGCATGCAATAATTGTAGTGGATTTTATAGAACAATACACATTAGGAAAAAATACTGTGGTACTGCAGGTTAACACAACTTTAATTAGCCAATTTATCAATGCAAAGGCACATTTCAGAGAAAGATAGTGAAAACAACTGATGATGAATGTAATGATAATAAAACAGTTACCAACACAACAGGGCACTATCCTACCCTGAACTTCCTGCGGAGGGTACTGTTGAGCTGAAAGTCGTCCTTCCAGCTGGACTGGTAGTCTTGAATCTCTGACAAAGAAGGCAGAGCCTTCTTAAACTTCTCCTTGTCTTTCCCACCATGGTCCAGTTTAAACATGGCATCTGTCTCCAGTTTCTCCTTCTCCGTCCGCTCTGTACAGATTGAATTGATTAGAAACAGAAAACATACAGACAAAAGAAAAATCAATTATCTCCACCTTTATAAAAAAAAAGATCTGGAAGACTCTTTATAACCTCATAGCTGTGAGACCATAAAGACAAATTTTCAGTTTGTGATGGGCTGTGCACTTTACACTGCATGTTCAAAAAGGAAAACCTACGTTTAATGGTCACAGGGCTGATTTCCAGCCTAAATTACACCATCAAGAAACAAAGCAAACATGTATCCTTTACCTGTGGTGAGTATCTGTTCATTTTCAGCCATGTCCCAGCGTTCCTCCTTCCTGTTTGCCCCAGATACTATTACATAATCGCAGGTCGCTGGATCTGTCTGCATCTCGATGTAGTTGACACACAGATGGCACTTCATCCTAAACCTGGTTGAGTAGACAAAAACTTTTAGAGGTCAGAGATCCATGATGATTTTCTGTTGTTTAAGGAGATATCATAAACTGCACCACAAGCTTAGAATGTAAAGTTCACATTAACAGTCAACCCAGTCCATCTGTGTTTACCTGTAGATTGGCGTGGTGTAGTAGTTCCCCACTTTCTTCTTCTCAGCATTGTAGCGGACCCCTGCACATGCAGAACATTTGTGTCATGGATATGAAAAGACATTGTATCAGACTGTGAGACCGATCCTACTTAAAAGTTGTTCTTCAAACTTACCCATGCCAATGTGATTTTTGCAGCCATCACACCAGATGTTGTAGGGCATCTCAAACCTTAATGAACAAACAGTCAGTTAAAACACTTGTTTGTTGAAAACAATGAAAAACACCAATTCAGGGATTAAAAGTTCCATTACTTCCCATCTCTTTCTTTTTAAGATCTTCTTTACAGATGTACTGTAGCATTTCTGCCTGTCATTTGTTTGTATAAATATTAGGGGTGAAACAACTAATCGACGTAGTCGACAAAAATCGATTATTAAATTTGTCGCCAACAAATTTAATAATTGATTTGTCCATGACGTCATCGGGCCGTAGCGATACCATCAGCTTAACGGGGTGAAGTGATAGTATTAACACCTAAAATCACAGAGTTTTGTGAGTTGTTGAGTTTGGGGAAACTATATACTTTGTGAAACACTGTCTACTACAAAATCATTATTATTGGTCCCCTTTTGTAAATTTGGCAAATGTAATACATTAAGTTATTCCTTTCTTATATATATACACACATATATATATATACACACACACACACACACACACACACACACATAGCGTCATTGTGTTCAGTACCAAGTTCCATTACTTCCCATCTCTGTCTTTCTAAGGTCTACTTTTCGATTATTCGTTTCAATAATCGAGAGATTAATCGTTTATCAAAATAGTCGTTAGTTGCATCCCTCTAATAAATATGATAATAAATATGTTGAAATAAATGTACCTGTTCGATAACATGTCAGTACCTGTATTGCAAATGATAATCATTAATTATTTCTGTGTACTAACCTGATAATGAGAATGCCCTGGGACAGTTTCCTGGCCCTCTCCCGCAGAGCGTGGGTGTTATGATAGCCATTGAGGGATCCATGCTAAAGATAAAGAATGACAGCAGTGTAAGTCAGTATATTCACACACAAAAGCTGAACTAAAAACAGTGACACATACTGGTCTGCGGGATCATACACACCTTGGCCGGATCAAAATCTGGAGGGTAGTACTTGTTTGTTCCTTTTCTTTCACCCTGTCACGTAAACAGTACAGGGGTCTTTGTTAGTAAAGAGTACAACATATGTTATTATCTGTATCTTGACAGACCGATTATATACATCACTGCTTACCATAGTGACACCTGGATCTCCACACCAGTAATGGATTCACCCTTTTTTCACCTGAACAAAAAAAAAGTAATGTCACTGACATCATACTGTAAAGCTCTTTGGTTACATGTAAAAACAAAGTTATATACACTTAGTTGCCAGTTTAAGTCCAGCCAGCTAAAACTAAGGTTAAGGTTAGGGTGTTGTAGGTGTTTCTATTTTATCTGCTCTTTCACATTCACCTTGGTTAACGATACGTTGGCTGATTTCCCTTAACTTTGTTGTCTTAAGTACCTTGTTTAATTTGCTAACAGAACACAAGAGAAACATAACTTTATCTTCTTAGAAACTTAAAAACGCAATCCTTCAACAAATTTACTTAGTTAGTTAACGTTAAAAACGTGTAAACAACGTACGTTAGTTATAACGTTAAGTTATACACAACGCCGTGGAAACAGTTAAGTTAGCAACAACAACTTTGTTTGGCTAAATACTGGGACCTTCTTTCGCTTCTTTTCTGATAGGTTAGTGAGGTGTGTGTGTGTGGACCGTAAACCCTTACGTTGTTTTATAAGATATATGAAATTATTAAACTGCCATATTTTGCATAGAGTTTGGTGTGACAACGCATCGGAGCTAATAGCAAGCTAACATTAGCATTAGCTATGTAACGTCAGCGACCTCTTCGTGTTAATATGGCAAACATGTAGCTAAATGACAACTGCAAACAAACTCATTTTAAACGCGCTGCTGTCATGTTTACTCTTCAGCACAAACATAAAAGATACTTACAAATGCTCTTGTAGCTGCACAAGCAACCATCAGCTAAACACCAGAGCATAACGTTCAGGTTTCGGAAGTTGCGTCACGTTGCAGAGGATTGTGGGTAATACCGGTGTGAAGACGGAAAACGTGCTCGGAGCAGCAGACTCCAGGGGAAAATATTTTCAACGTGTGTTCGCTGTCGTATGTTAACACCGCAGATATGAAAACTAAAACGGAACCGCAGAAACGTTACATCTGCTCGTTTCCCGACTGTCCGGCGGCTTATAACAAACAGTGGAAACTGGACGTTCACTTGTGTAAACACACGGGGATCAAGCCGTACTCGTGTGAGCACGATGGCTGCGGCAAGTCCTTCTGTAGCCCTTATCACCTGTCGCGACATGAGCTCACTCACAGCGGTGTGAAGCCTTTTCACTGCACCGAGGATGGCTGTACGGAGGCCTTCACCACCAACGCAAACCGGAACAGACACATCAGCCGTGTTCACACCCAAGACCAAAAGAAGTATGTTTGCAAGTTTGAAGGCTGCACGCTCGAGTTCAAGAAGAACAAGCAGCTAAAGTCCCACATGTGTGAGCAGCACACCCAGCTGCCCCCTTACCCGTGCACTTATGAAGGCTGCCAGATGCGATTCACCTTCCCCAGCAAGCTGAAACGACACGAGAAGGTGCATAAAGGGTACCCCTGTGCAGAGGACGGCTGCAGCTTCATAGGAAAGACCTGGACGGACTACCTGAAGCACAGGAAGGAGCAGCACAGGCTCATTGTGAAATGTGACCAGTGTAACAAGGTATTTAGGGACTCCTGGTTCCTGCAGCAGCATCAGCAGGTCCACTCTGAGATGCGGGTGGTCCTCAGGTGCCCCCGGGAGGGCTGTGACAGATCATTTACCACAACCTTCAACCTGGAGAGCCACATCAGCTCCTTCCACGAGGAGCTGCGGCCCTTTGCCTGTACCCACGCAGGCTGCAGGAAGACCTTTGCCATGAGGCAGAGCCTCCAGCGCCACAGCATTGTCCATGACCCTGACAGAAAGAAGCTAAAGAAGCCTGGACCCAAAAGATCTCTTGCTTCCAGGTTAAGTGGTTACAGCGAAACAAAGAGAGTGGTCAGGAAAAAGCGCAGGGAACCTGAATCCATTAGAGAGTCTGCTCAAAAGACTGATCCACCTGGTCCGGTTGAGTTGGTGTCCCTCCTGCAGGACACGTCCTTGCTGAGCAGCCCTGGTGTGGACACACATGGACTTACTAATGCCCTAACTACACCTCTGACCATGAAGGCTTAAATAAAGGAATTCATATGAACATTTTGAAGACAGCCGGCACTAGAAAAGAGCATTTATGATGTATTATCTTTTCTACCTCGGTAGTTGGAGTTCTTTATGTTGTGTAAATTTAGTCCACCACTTTCTTGGAATCAAATCTTGTTGGCATCATTTTCAGTTATACTCTCTACTTAAACTATTTCTGGTGGACTTTTGTTGATTTTCTGGAGCCAATAAATCCAGTATATTTGTGCCATTATAAATTTAAGAAAATAAACCGTCTATGTTGTAAATGTTTTTTTTGTAAAATGTAATGTAAAATAAAACATTGCAGTAAGACATTGTTGTGTCTAAATTAAACCTGTGGATGCCTTGATGAATGTATTTTGTGTCTGGATATTCTGTTCTAGTCCATTAGGCCTAATGTGGGTAAAAAAACATGTTTTGATATGATGCATTTTATCAGTTTAAATCCATAAAATGATAAAAATTTGGCCATTTTACATTTACAAAATGTCTGGCAGGATCTTTTACTAATGTGTATTATTATTATATAGAGAGAGAGAGAGAAAACCTGCAGATTCTTGTGCCTTTATGACACATGGTGGAGTGTCTCAGCTCTGACCATCAGATTTACAGCATTAACAGGAGCAGCTCCATACAAGTTTGAGATTCCAAGGTTAAATCCTCTCTGAATATTTCCCGTTACTAGAAGCCTGCTCCCTACATTCCTGCCCTGCTCTGTTCAGACGAGCCCTATATGGACTGACTGTCTGACCAGCTCACCCAGGAATGCACAGCAGACCTCATCCAATGAGTATTTGTACAGTTTGAGTGTAACGTAATCATTTCCTCTTCTTACATGGCTTTTTAAGTCATAAAACCTGAATTCAGCATGTGGAACAAATGCTCAGATTTGCCTTGATTAGACTGCTGCAGCGACACTGACCGCTCTTTGTAACACTGCAGTGTAATCGCTGTGTCGTCTCATGAGTCAACATTTGTTTCTACAAACTACACATTTTCAGCTTTCTTTTGTAAACTTTAACTGGTGTCCTTTGTTTGGCCATCTTATTTTTAACCTTTACATCTCAGATTTTCCATACTTTTAGCAGCTCATGTATAAATAGATATTGTTCCTGTTCTATTTTTATCACTTCATATCAGTTTTGGCATGAACTCAGGCTACATTTAGCCAAGTCTGGATTCATGCCGGAGCATCAGCTGTCTGGCTGCCTGTGAACAGATTAGGTAAAAAATGGTTACAGGCTACATAAAATGTTTTTTTAAACATTAGATAAGGTACAGCAGGTTTAAGTATGATATATATATATATATATATATATATATATATGGTTTTTTTTTAAAAATGAAGTCTGGAATGAAGAATTTGTCTGGATTAAAAAGGAAGTAAGTAATTTCTGGTGGTTAAAATTCCATCTGGATTAAGAAATATATTCTTTGTATAAGCTAACACCTATAGAGGAGCATGGATGTAATTACTGTTTGATTTTAATTGGCAAGATCAAGTTATTAGATGTTCTATAAATCCTCCAAAGTAGAGGATTTATTTTCATTTTTCATAGAAGAGAAAGACACACAGGAAGCGGTATATTCTAAAAAAAAAAATAAAAGTCTGCTTCATGAGAACAAAATAAACGTTCTGAACGTGCAGGAATGCACCAGAGGAGAGAGTGCTGGAGGGAGCGATTTTCCCCTAAAAGATCTATGATGCCTTGAAAAAGATTGAAAAGTAGGGAGCAGAAAGCAGCCCAGAGGTTAGACAAGCTGCGAGGTTCCTACTGAGAAAGCTGGGCCATTGGGGATAAAGGGACGACCTGCCCTGCAATAACTGTAACTGCAGGTGTTTCCTTGGAAAAATGATGAAATCTGCAGCTGCTCCTCTAGAGTTGCTGTGGCCACCAGTAGAGGATGTTTATCAATGTGAAAATCTGTTGTACGTAAGATATATGTATATAAACAATTTAAGAAAAGTATTGCTGACAAAGCTAACATCATGATATTTAGGAGGTGAAAAGTTTAACTGTGCTAAATTTGCTAATTAGCATTCATCACAAAGTACAGCTGAGGCTGATGGAGTTAGTGTTGCAGGTATTTGGTCATAAAACACGGTACTGGACACATTTCTGGTGCCAGAGTAAAAGTCAGGGAATCACCAAAGTAATCAAAATCATCCTGTGGAGGACGATCCATCCAATAGTTATTGACACATTTCACTCAAAACCATGAATGTCAACCTCATGGTGATAATGGGGAAAAGCCTGGGGATCACCAAATCCTACCACCAAAAATCCTCACATAATGAATCCCATGGGTAAACATATTATGTTGTTATCTAAGAGCTTATTGTGTGATTTCAATCCAAACAGGCTGTCCTTTGTTTTAAATTTGTGATTATCAATTTTGGCTTAAAGAATAGGTGACACATTTAAAATGATTGGTATATAGCACCAGTAAGGTTTTGAGATCTGGCCAGGTTTACCACTGTATAAAAATCATTGTGTCTTTTATCCCTTATTTCTTATCTTTTTTCTTTTTTCTTTTTTTACAGAAATTGATGCCACGTTCTTTCCATTCTTTTCTCATGACAACCCTGAATTCCAGACTGGTTCTTTAGGCCGTAATCCAAAGGGATTTCTCTATCTCCACTGTATTTCTCCCACCACCTCCTCTGCTGTCCTTCTGTCTTTTCATCTCTTGCTTGGCCTTTGTCCTGCTGTCTATTTGAGAGGTGGAAGGAATGTGTCAGGCCCTTTGCCCTTTGTTCTTTGTTTTCTGTACAAATTACCAGGAAATAGAAACTGTCCGTGTGAATGATTTTGCTTGCTTGTGGACAGCTGAGTTAAGCAGAGCTCTTATTGTTTTCAACTTGTGCAGGTTGACAAAGGTCTTTATTTACTGTATCTGCAGAAACGTGGAGGGTTAGATTCCCAGTATAATTACAGTCTGAACAAGGCCATGGAGAAGATCCAGACTGGGTCAAGACTGGGTGCAGTTTTGTGTCTTGCTCAATGGCGCTTCACCGTCACTATATTTACCCCAGGCTAGGAGACTAGGACTAGGAGAGGTCCAGTGATCCAGTTTTGAGTGCTAAAACTCACATTCATTAGCCTGTTAAAGCCATTAAGCCTTTTATATTTAACTCTATAAGATAAAACAAATCTATTAACATCACATTTGTGACTCTTGAAAATAAAGTTGTCTCAATTAGTGTTTATATGAAGGTTAAGAGGATGGTGATGTGAAGAGGATGTTGATTTTTTCTTATTTTCATCCTTGTGTGTGCATGGGTTTTCTCCCACAGTCCAAAGATATGAAGGGCAAGTGAATTGGGATGTCTTAATTGCTACAGGCATGTACGTGTTTGGCTGTTTTCGTATATATGATCCATCCTAAAACATTCAGTTTAAAACTGTAAAATGAAACCATCCCTTAAAACTATTGGTGAATATTTAACAGGTAGTCCAGAATGCATGAAAATAGGTAGGATACTGAAATAAAGCATGAAGAAACATAGGTATTTGGGGGAAAATGTGCTCAAGTCAGATGTATTGAGTTTCCTAGGCTATAACTGAGGAGGAGCTCACTACAAAAACACTGTAATTTTTCAATTTAATGTCTAATTTACTGCAGTCTCTAAAACCTTATCCTTGAAAGAATTATAGAAATTCCTGGCAGTAAATTTCCTGGGCCATTATTAGTTCAAGATTTAGGGATGATTCCTTTGTAATTCCTATCAACAGAGCTATAATACATGAAAAATGGGGTTGTTTAAATATAATAAATAATCTTGTCTCATTGGACACACTCCTCATGTCTAAATATAACTAAGTGAAGCCAGGAGTCAGGCATTAACAAAATGCAGTAGAAATAATGTAATAGTTATGATAACTGCATTAATTGCCTGCATTGTAGTGTATATTTCACAATATACATATTGCTTGAGTTGCTCTTTTTCACAAACATTTGCTCACATTCTTTAGCTTTTATCTTTAGTTTCACACTTTCATGATGCACCTGCCCGTCTTATTTTGATTGTTAATTCTGTCATTGTTATTATTTTAATGACGTATCCAACATATGTTTGAGAAAAGTAGCTACTTGGCTAACAGTTATGTTAATCATATATTTAAATATCATCAAAGTATCAAGATTAGTTAGTTTTTGAGTAACTAGTAATGCACCATTCCTGTTTGTCTAAGCCACATGGAGCGTTTGAAATACAACTTACAAATGGACCGCATGGGGAAGCATTAGGGAGTCAAAGAATGTCTCTCTATGATAGTCAAATGACACAACCATATTGGCTTGAGTGAGTAAATCTCTTACCCAATATGAAACCAGTAAAATCATTCACTTACTAACTAATAATTTCCATTTGGCACACTCAAGCTGTTGTTATAGCTAAAATGTTTTGAAAATAATCAGCTAATTTCCTATGCACTTGGTTTATCAATCATCATCAACACCAATCATGTCAGATGTAGATTAGTGTAGGAAAGACAGATAGAGAATACGTTTAGCAACTCACAAATTGATATGGGTTCAGTTCACAATTTCGGTTACATCAGTTGCTAAATGAGGGTTGCACTTTCTTGTAAACTCCAAATTCCATTCACTGCCTTTTTGGGCCCTATAACCGTTACATAATGCATATTCTACTTATTCTACATGTCAGGCACACATTGCTGACGAGATCCCTCAATTTATGGACCAGCTCAAGACGAGTCACCCGTTGTGGAATGTCTGCTGAAACAGGCCCTGTTGCGTTCTAATTATAACCCGACTTCCCTTACTTCTTTGGAGGTTAACCTTTTAAAGTTTTTTTTGCTTTCCTGTATTGATCCTCAGATGTAACATTTAAAATAAGATCAGTGACAAAAGCCGAATACAACAGGGGACTATTATAAGACATTTCACAATGTATTTTCTGCCTCCTTCCTTTACATTTCCTACATGGATAATTTTTGTGTTTATGTATTGATAAAGTTCTGTCTATGAATTTATAACTCGGCTGCTTGCCTGCCTTTCCACTTCCGTGTCTGTCTAGCTACCTATCTACTGATTCATTTATCACACATTCTTCTCAGCATCATCAATGTGACATCATTGTCCACTCCTTAGCAGCTTTTAAGAGCCCCAAACCTCTGGGAATCCATATTGCCAGGGGCCAACATCCTCTGGAAGAAACATCTGGGGGAAAACTTAACAATAAGCTAGTGATTTACACCAATTAGATAATCCCAACAGGACAAATTCTGGGTCAAGCTCCCGCCTGCCCTCCTACGCTCCCTGTCAGGCACAGGTGAGTGGGATAGTCTGTTGGCAAGTAACGGGTTAGTCTGTCTCCCCCCTACACCTCCTCACCTCATCCCTTCACCCCCTTCATCTCCGAGGGCTATATATTGGAGGTTGTGACTCGTCTTCATCTTAAGCATCACTTGCACCCGCAGACATACAAACACACAAGTGTCTGGTTCATTTTGAGCGACGGCTCAGACGAAGAGCAGACTCTAGCGATGAGGTCCCTGTTGAAACTGGTTGTGATTCTGTTTTGCGTCCAGAGGGGAGAGAGCCGCTGGCTGACATCATTGATTGGTAAGTGCCGGTCGAAGGGACGGCCGTGACCTATGACCTTTTGGCTAAAATCTAATTTTTGATTGCTTTGAGAGCAACGTGTTAACTATTGTGTCTAGACTTAAATATGTTTCACTTTAAACTTTAATTTTCTGCCTTTTAGAAGTTACTCATTCTTAGTTAACAGTGTAAATAACTGGTTGAGTGTTTTATACATTACATCTATCAGAATTTTGTACATCAGATGTATATATATATATATATATAAAACTCTTTTTGCCTTTTCCAGATCAGAATCAAAAAACAGCATCTACACACACGTCACCAAATGATGACAAGAGAAACGGAGATCCAGCTGCGGAAGATGGCCAAACAGAAGCTTCTGGAGTCGTGCCATCACCCGATCCCTTCGTCCTGATCCCAGTCCGGTCACGTCGCTCTACTCTGGACTCCCAGTGTGGCCTGCGCTCCATCCTGTTGCAGGTTCGAGACCTCGGGCTGGGATACGACTCAGACGAGACCGTCCTCTTCAAGTACTGCAGTGGGACGTGTCCTCACGTTCGCTCCAACCATGACCTCACCCTTTCCAGCCTGCTGTTGAGTGGGGTGCTCCCTCAGCCAGCACCTGGGGAGCTGTGGCACAACGCGCCCTGCTGCAGGCCCACCCACCACGAGGACATGGCCTTCCTCGATAACTCGCACCGCTGGCACAAGGTGGAGAAGCTGTCAGCCGCTGGCTGCAGTTGTGTGGGTTAGACAGCTGAGCGTAGACGGTTGAATGGGGGAATGTGAAGGGGTTGGGGTGTATGATGGTTTGTGAGGACACATTTGCTGGCAGGTTTTCTTGTAATGTCTGTTAATGATTTCATTCGAAAATGTCTTACCATTGAGGAAGCTGAAACCTATTCTTACAAAGGTTATTTATGTCAACGTCAATGAGCACTTTTGGGTGAACACCTCATGAATCCGGTGACGATAATTTAAATGTTTTGACTTCAACTGGTGCTCTCATGGGCCTCAGTTGATTAGATTTGTATTACTGTTGGCATTTGCCAACTTAAAAAAACTATAGTGATGGCAGTCAAGGAAAAACTGCTCAACTGATCCCTCCCTATTCTAAATCTGACAAAGCAGTGCAAAATGGTAAAAACTGAGCGGAGACACATTTCTACTACAAACTACTTGACTATTTTTGTAAATAAGCTGACATGTATTTATTTAAAATCTTCAGTGCAATTAATAATACGATGGATCATACATACGAAGCTGCGCAGATCCACCTTGTGGTTTGACGAACGCAGCTGAGTGAAGTTCTTCACAATTCAGACTTATTCATCAACAGTCCAGCTACAGTTTTTAAAAAATGTATTTATGTAAGATAAGTTATTTATTTATTTGCTGCCATTCTTTTGTCATGCTGATTAACTTATTTTGTAATGCGCCTATCTATATGTTCATTGTGCGTAAAGTTCCTAATAAACGTGTACAGAACTCAACAGTGTGGTGGGGGGATCATTAATTTCAAGAGAAAAATGGCATGTGGTGTATACAAGAATATGTTTATTCAAGGTTTTGTACAAAAATATGTTTTGCACACATACAAAAACCCAAGTCCTAGATCATTTAACTAGAATTAGATTCACATCCAGATCATGTGCGCTGTACATCTGTGAACCAGAGTTCAACATCATTTTCTGTTTTTGTGTCAGATGACATGTCTAGAGAACTAAATCTTTGTAAAGCTAACAGTCATAAAGACAGACTGATGAGCTGGCTAAGATGTTAGCTGTACCTGAATGGCTGCTGTGTGTCTATGTAGCTCACTTCTGACTAAAATAAACATTTCCCCCTTTGGCTACCACCATGAGCCTTTGAAAATGTGATTCACTTTCATGTATTGACTATTCCCTTTTTGACTGACCCAACAAGAGAAGGCAAAGAAATAACGATTCCCTTAGGAATCTGTGTGATTTTCCTGGTGCCTCTCAAAAAGGTCTGATTGCTCAGGTATGTGTACTTTTCACTGTCCCTACCCTGTATCACATTTGACAAGTATGCCAGGGTACAAGTTCTGCTAGAAATGCTCACACTGTTAATAAAAAAAACTACCTTCAATGGTCCTGTGTTTAGAGTCAAAAACGAAATGTGAGAGTAAGTTATTTTCAATTAATTAATTAATTAGTTTTCAAGCCACCATAAAGTTTATCAGGTTTTAAAGTTACAATGTTCACAGACTGTATGATGTTGAAATAACAGAAAAATAAATCAATCCTCTTAGCATGTAAATGTGGCTTTTGAGTATTTTCACCAATTATGTGGCCATTGCATCCTCCTCTGTCTCCTCTGGCTCTGCGCCCCACACCTGAACACGCCCCTCCATGGCTGTAATGAGGCAGGTCTCTGTGGGATGGAAGGACAATGACTGGACAACCGCTTTCCCCACTGGCAGTTTCAAGGACAAAGATCCCTGGTGGTGAGAAAAACAACAACAAAAAACACATTATACAGAATTTGTATGCTTTCAGTACACTTTCTATATCTGTTTCTAACATAAGGTTAGATCATATTTGAAAGTTTCTGCAGCATTCATGTGCTGGTGAGATGCAACCCAAAGGTTACAGGCTGCTCTTCTGCATGATACAAAGCAGTTTAGTATTGGTGGAGTGCCAACTAGCTCCATATTTTCCCTGTTTTTCTGTGCACTTTCTAAAATGCCTATGTTGAATTCATTGTGTTTAATGCATTATGAACATAAATGTAACCACACACTTACTTCCACCAGGTCCCAGCAGTAGACATGACCGTCCTCTGAGCAGCTAAGGACGTGAGTATCTTTACTGGACAGGCAGCAGTCCAGCTTATAGCCCTTCATCTTGTGTCCTGTATACCTGAGTGACACAAAGAAACAAACAGAAACATCATAATAATCTAACCTTATGTTAGAAACAGATATAGAATTATTATTATTATTACATTACATTTATTTATCTCAACTGTATGTTTATCTACGTGTAGCACCTTATCACCAAAGCAAATCCCTCGTACGTGTAAAATACTACTTGGCAATGAAGCTCTTTCTGATTCTGATTTGAGTCTGAATTAATATGCATAAATTACATACATACTAACATCACAGGGGTGTGGACAATACAACAGATACACCTTTACAATAAATTGTACCTTTTAGAATTTTGTGATGTTCACTTGTTGTTTGTTTGGAGTTTTTGTTGGGCTGAGCTGGTTTAGATAGGTACAGTAAATATGGGCCGAACTGCTACTTTTTGCATTTATATGTTCAATATGCTGAAATTGTTAGTTAAGCCTCATTGCGTTTGGTTTTATGCAGATTTTTACCCAATAATACTGATTTTTAGAACGAGCAGATTGGTTTAAAAGGATTGACACCCACATTTCTATGTCAGTGTGCGTTTAAAATATGTTATGTTTCCTGCTGCAAGAAGACACTCTTCATGAGTGTCACTGAGTCATGTCCTGTTGGGGTTCAAACATTCTTTCACGGATATAAAGTGAAGTGAAATACAGAATGAAATCGCAACTTTACTCAAATTTCCACTTGGATTTCTGCCTTAGCTATTTTTACCCCACTTTTCAGATGCTTTATAATATGAAAACAAAAAGATTACTTGCTAAAAAAAAAAGCTGATAAATGAGGAGGCCCAGTAATAATGTGTGCAGTGGAGAAAAACTGCTGTCTAGATTAGTTGACTAGCAAGTGAAGCCATGATGGGGACACACCACACTGAAAATGAGACTGAACAGCACTCACTCTCCCAGCATTTCCCCAGTGCTCTTGTCCAGTAGTCTGACTGTTGAATCTAGACTGGAGCTCAGAGTGCACTGACCGTCCTGACTGAAACACACACATGTGATGGGACCTGGAACACACACAAGTTACAGGTTCTGTAGTTTCATGGACATAGGTTTCCAAAAGTCATTATTTTCATTCACTACTATTACTACAACAATTGTACTTCTGCTAATTCTACTATTGCTCCTAATACTAACAACAGTAGGATTCATTGTTTACTATTGATGAATGCTGAAAAGATAGAATGAAAAGATTACTAACTGCTGATGAAGTCAACATGCAGCTGTCCCATTCTCAGATCGTAGCGTCTCACTCTCCCATCCACAGACCTAATTACCAGATAATAGTTTTTAAATAGTGCCACAGTGAAATCTCCAAATTAAATCTCTGTCTAACTGGTGGGAATGTAAAAGGGGGAATACATTTTCCCTTTATTTGCTTCCAGTTCAATGCTGCAGTCTGGACAAGAAGATATAAGTGGTGTATATATTTGTGATAAATACAATCTTAAGTCTTCTGTGCTGACCCGGTGAGCAGCTCGTGTTGTGCCACCTTCAGGCTGCTGATACCATCCTGAGCCTCATCTAGAACCTGGATGGGCTCAAATCTTCTGGACCTGGTGTCCCAGCACCGAACTGTCCCATCTATGGACCCTGGATGAAGAGAAAACAAGCCCAGACCACAAATAAATTGATATACATGTTTACTGGAATTAACACTAAAACGCAATTAGAATCAGTAAATGGTAAGTATTAGTGTTAATGAGTTGGTTACAATTTAACATAAATACAGACCAAGAAACTCAATGTTCAAGTGGCAAGATATTTCACATAACAATGCACTATCCAAGAAAATACACAATGTATACTGGATAATGTATTGTGCACTGTAGACATTTTACATGAGTGAAGACATACCAGACAAAATGACAGTCGCCTCCTCGTTGAACTGGACACAGTTGACTTTCTGTAAGCAGGAAATTTGAGTGTTTTAATATTCTTTAATTTGTTTTTTTGTGAGTGTCTTTGTGCCTGGGTTTGAAGGTTTGTTGTTGGGACTGTGTTGTTTTCCAGCGTCTTCTGTCTGTTGTTTGTGTTATTTTATTTAATCCCAGTACCCATTCCCTATTGGAGGCCTTTGTCTCCTGCCAGGTCGTTATTGTAAAAAAGAATCTTTCTTAATTAACATGCCTGGTAAAATAAAGTGTAATCAAAAAAAGGTGCAAAAAAATTAAACTAAACTTTATAAATGACAAAAACAACTGGGTTCAAAGAGTTATAAACAGCAGAACTGACCCGGCATGACCTCTGAGTTTACGTGTGACCTGGCCCGTGGCGACATCCCACAGGATCACTGTTTTATCCGAGCTGCAGGAGCAAATCTGGCTGTTGTCGAAGGAACTGTTGAAACAGCCAATGAGAAACAAACACTGTAACGTCTTGCGGGGTTCAAATATAGCTTCAGCATTTGTTCTTTCATACACACACACACACACACTCATTTATCATGCATTTTAATGCTATATTGGTGGGTTGACCTTCCCAACGCACTGTGGAGGAGGCTGTGACAATTCCCTCACCCATCAGCATCCAGAACCTCATATCCGTGGCCACTGTAGGTCTTCAGCTGGGTCCCTCGGCTCACACTCCACAGCTTTAGAGATTTGTCACTGCCACAAGACAGCAGGTAGTTCCCATCAGCTGA